CAGAGTACTGACCAGTTAGAATTATTCTTTTCTCACAAGAAAGGCTAAAGAGAGCTGTAGTTGTCTTAATGGCACTATTCTTCAAACGATGTCCCTCATCACAGATTAAAAGATCAAATTTTAGATTATTAATTTGATCCAGGGAACGAAGTAACATTTCATAGCTGATGATAAGAACGGAATAAAGTGTAGATTTGATGAATTCTTCAACTTTGTGGTCCTGGAAAATAAAAAGAAAGAAAATATTTAACAAACCATGAGTATAAGCTACAGTCATCCCTTGATATTCAACTGCTTCAAAACTCATCAAAGTTGGTATTCCACACATTCTAATGAGAAAATCTGGTTCAGTAATCATTATAGTTTGGTACTTGTCACACAAACCTGAACTTGTTGGTGACAGTTGCCCTCTGACTCCCTACCCTTTTCAACCAAAACTATTTGTTTGGTATTCATTATGCCTCCCAGAACCACTGTATGTGAAATCAAACTTAAGCTACAATTTCTGACAATGATTTATCAAGAATTAGAATATGTTAACTCTATGTTTTGATCAGTTCAGACTGTGAGGAGGAAATACCATAGGTTAGGTAGCTTAAATAATGGATATTTCCCAGTTCCAGACCCTGGAAAACCTAGGATCACAGTGTCAACACAGTAGAGGAACTGAGTAGAGGACCACGGTAGAGGAAGACTCCTGGATCACAGAGGGATGTTTTCCTGCTGTAACCTCTAATGGTGAAACGGAAAGATTCTACTACCATTTCACTTTTTTTTTTTTTTGGCAGAACCAGGGATTGACCTCAGACCCTTGTGCTTGCCAGGGAAGCACTTATTCTACTGAGCCATCTCTCCAGCCCCACCTTTTCACTTTCTGACAGGGGTAGTAATCCCATCACAGGGCTCCATCCTCATCACTGCATCTAAATCTAATTAACTAAGTCCCTATCTCCTAAAACCATGACAGATAGTCCCTGATTAATGAATGGTTGACCTAATAATTTACTTTACAATGTATAAAACTGAGCCCACACAACCACTGCTTCTCTTTCAGCATTCAATAAATCACATGAAATATTCAACATTTTATTATAAAATAGGCTTTTGGCCAGGCATGGTGGGACACACCTGTAATCCCAGCACTCCAGAGACTAAGGAAGCAAGATTGCCACAGGTTTGAGGCCCACCTGGGCTACATAGTGAGTTCAAAGCCAGCGTGAACTACATACCAAGACCCTGTCTCAAAAACAAAACACAACAAACAAATAAAAAATAGGCTTTTGGTGAGATGAATTTTCTAAACTGGAAGGTAATAAAAAGTGTTCTGAGCATATTTAAGACAACTTAGGCGAGGATATGATACTCAGTAGGTTACATGTATTAAGTAAGTTATCAACTCACGGTATTATGTAACCCCCCTGCATGCCAAGGAACACCTGTATATTGAGTCAGAGCTTCAACATGTGAATCTGAGAGGAACCCAAATATTCAGTCCAAAACAACCCAAAACCAAAATATAAGCCCCAAGACTACAATTTTGTTTAAAGGGGTTGGAAGCTACATACTACTTGAAAAACTGCTTCAGAAAGAGTTTAAAACTGTATTATTAATTTAAAAAGCTAGAGATTTGAAGAATGATGAACACTAAACTTTTAAGTCTCTTACCTGATCAACAGCAAATATCTTGATCCTTTCACTTCCTAGCCATTGTTTAAATTCTTTCCTCCAGTTATTCACCAAGCTTCCAGGAGTAACAATTAGGGTTTTCTTTATCACTGGCTTGCCTCCATAGGGTCCCTGACACTGCAGGGTCCAGATGAGCGAAATACACTGCAACGTCTTCCCTAAACCCATCTCATCAGCAAGAATAGCTCCATATCTGCCATTCATTCTCATGCCCATTACACATTCATAAAGGAATATGATTCCTTCTTTTTGATGTGGTCGAAGGTGATACACAACATGAGGATCTATCACTACATCCAC